AGTTCTGGAAATAATGCCTAGAGACAGTGACTAAGGAAGGATGGAGTTCAGTGGACTAAAACCCTTGGGTTCCATGGACTGGAATAAGGGTTAGGACAGACAGTGCAAGAGCTGTTTTATAACAGTAAGTTATTTTATATGCATTACCTCATCTGTTCCAGCCATTCCCCTGTGAGGGAGATAACGTGCTGGCCACGTTAGGGACGAGGAAACAGAGGTCTGAGAAGGAGTGACTTGAGGGGACTGAGGAGCCGGAGAGCCCTGTGCTCTCACACACTCTCCTGAACCTTAAACGTTGCCTCAAGATGGTGTTTATTACCTTTACACAACCTGATCCCTCTCTCTCTCTTTCTCTCTCTCTATATATATGTATGTATGTATGTATGTATGTATGTATGTATGTTTATATACACACATATATATTGTCGTTTGTTTTGTCTGTTTGATTTCTCCCCTCAGATGTAATCCCCATAAAATTCCCACCACCACATCACCCATGAACTGTCACCGCAGTCCCTTGTGCTCTTTTCACCCCTGTTTTGACCCTTTTCGCTCCCCCTCCCGTGCTTTATGTCTCCAATTTACAATTTGCCTGTTAGTTTCGTCTCTTTTTTCCTGACTCCTTCTTCAGACTCCCTATATTGCTCCAAAAAGTGAAACCATATGATATATATTTTTTTCTTTCTGACTTATTTCTAGCTCATGGATATATTGCTGCAAATGGCACAAGTTCATCTTTTTTGATTGCTGAGTAGTATTCCACTCTGTATGTATACCACATCTTCTTGATCCATTCCTCTGTTTGGGGGCACTTAGGTTGCTTCCATATCTTAACTATTGTAAATAGTGCTGCCCTAAACATAGGAGTGCAGGTTTCCTTTCAAATTAATGTTTTTGCATCCTTTGTCTGACCCACTCTTTATGGCAAACCCACCGACTGAGAAGCAGAGAGAGGATGAGTGGAAAGAAGTGGCCCTCTTTATTTCAGGGGTGCAGTGACTCAGCAAGAATATTTCCAGAAATCTAAGGCTGAAGTTTTCTAACTGCCTTTGTACTCAAGGGGTGTGCCCAAACACAATAGATCTCATTGATTTGGACAGACATCAGTGTCACCTTAGAGAGGAACTTTATCCTCTTTTTTTAACTCTTCAGGGCTCCTGTGGACACCAGAAATTAGTGTTATTTTCCTAAATTGTTGCAATTGCTAAGAAAGCAATCTGATAAACTAATTCATACTAAGATGTTATTGACACCAGATCCCATAAAGGGTATTCTGATTTATTTAGTGCACGTTTAGTGGTGACCTCAACATTCCAGGAGCTTCATATTAGAAACATGAGACTGAAGGACCGTGATTGTTAACTCAAAGGAATGACTCTGATGATGGAGGGTCCAGTTCTATAGCATCTGGATCTCCTTGTAAAATAATAATAATAAAACAGCTCCACATATTATGTATTTATTATGTGTCAAGAGCTGGGCTAGATTTTATATGTATTTATAAAGGCCATAACTTCATTCATATCCCCATCTTCAAATGCCAGACAAGGCTGAGTTAAATAGATACCTTACATGAGGCATCACTTCTAGTAAGTGGCAGACTTGAGATTCATACCTAACTCTGTTTAGCTCCAAGCACTAACTTTATTTACTTTGTTAAGAGAGAAGCAGCTCACCAAGGAGAAGGCAGCCCCTTTGTGAGGAGGCTCCTTTGGGGTATCCTCTGAGAAGAGGATAAGGAGTGGGGAGCTCTTCCATGTAAGTTATAACACCAGGGCTGGTGTTTGAAAAGGGCCAACTATGTAGCTTTGTTCTATTTGCATTTTACTCCAATTCAATGATCTTATTTATCCTGGGTGTGGGGGAAGTGCTAAAAAGAGACCCCAAGAGATGGCGCTGAATGGTAGGAGCTGGGACAGAAGACAGAATGGTAAACCACTAGCAAATAGTGAGAACCAAAATATAAATTGAGAATTGAAACCCAGAAAAATATTAATGATTTGAATCATGCCCCATTGTGCCTGCGATACTAAAATGTTAACTATTTCATCAGTTTTGAAATTATGGACACCCAGGTACTTGGGTGGACCCAAACAGAGGTCCTCAGCGGAGGACTTCTCTTTGGGGGAGGAACTTTTCTGGGATGAAGAGGGAAGTGTGGAATCTCACTTTCTTCCAAGAATCTCACATTCTTATACTATGTGCGAGAAATCCTTAAGGATTTCTAAGACTCGGAGAGGGGCTGTGTCCTCTTCCTCATCTTGGATTTCAACATTTTGGCACATGTGTAAGTCTTTGGAATTGCAAGAGCTATTATTTTTCTTGAGTATGTCTAAATGTACTAAGTGTACTGTTGTCCACTCAGTCCTCCCGCGTCCACCTCTAAGGCCTAAAGTTACAGTGTCACCTTGTTCCAGTGCTCTTACCTTTATTCACCTGAGTAGGCTTTTCACCTCTCATCTGTTGCTCATTTAGACTTTAATGATCAGAAACGATCTCAGGCCAAGGCCCCAAGGAGATGATGTTCTCTGCCTCCTCACCCGTGGGCTGGATCCCAGGCTGTTCCCGGCCCCAGGCTTGTCAGGATTACATGCCTCTGAGGTACTGTCCACAACCCACCTCCCCCAGGTCTGGAGTGACGTACTCCCAGGAAGACACCCCCCCCACACACACACATTATTGTCCCTCCTTGGGAATGGGGGCGGATCCCTCTTGACTTATCCGGATACTTGGGTCATGACCAGGGTCTACACTTCTCCCAGGGCCTCTTCTTCTTGACTTTAGCTATACAACACTCCCTTCTGTGTTTTTTATCATTTTATTCCTTCCCCTGGGTCTTCTCCCAGGTTGAAGTCTTTAAAACCATCTCTCTTTGTAGCTCCTGAATCTCTCTTAGTTCATTCCTCCTAGCAGCTCTGTGATAGCAGCCCTGCTGGACTCAAAGGAGCAAAGGCAAAGCTCTTTTTCTCTAAGAGAATGCCTACATGCCTCCATTTCAGCAGATTAAGTTTAACAAATACTAACAAATTGAGAAAATATGGCTCCAGCTGAACAACATCAAGGCCGTAGCAAATTCAGTAATAGTAGGGACAGAGGAGGGAACAGTAGTGATATTATGAGCCCAGAACAGACTGGACTCTGCGACTGATTTAATGTGAAATGAGAGAGGATAAACTGAAGATAAGGCTGATTTTATTCACACCAGGGTATGGAACACACAGGAGGAAGAAAGAACATTTAAGTCAACACCTGAATTTGAGTTTCCTATAAGGGAGAGAATGGGAGATGTACAAGATGTACAAGAGACAATTGGCATTTCTACAGGCAAAAGTTGAATGGGCCTGTCTGCAGAGGGAGCTACCCGGAGTGGGCACTGTCCATCCTGAGAGATTTCCAGGACCCCAGGCTTCTCCACAGTGAGGCAAGGGGCCAGCTGTCTCTTTCTTCCTGAGACTGTCACTGTCCACTGTGTCCTAGATCTAGGTCCCTGGTTACTTCAAATGCCCATGATGTCTTCTCCAGTCCTCTGCTGAGCAACTGTCTAGGGAATTGTAATTCTGAGAGGGATTCCCAGAAAATGCTAGGGGTGATGAGTCTTACAGTAGAAAAGAATACACACAGAACCCCCCAGAGACTCTTCTTTTAGGTTCTTTCTTGTCTGCAAATCTGCTCTTTTATGTCCCTCAAAAGGGTAGACTCTGGTTTTTATCTAGTCCCTGCCACCCAGAGCTGTGCAGCCGCCCAGTACTTTCCTAGAGAAAAAAAGATAGGTTGTTTGGATCCTTCCTTCAAACCCTGATCTAGAAGAAACTGTTCTCTTCCTGCGGGCTCACTGGTATAAACCCCATAGGTATTGGGAAAACCCCAGGGGCCTGAGGTTCTTCATCTTGCAGACCCTTCTAATCGTGTCGGGGACCTGTCCAAACTGAGATCTCTTTCCTCAAATCCTGGCACTGACCACCAGCCCTATCAACCTATTCAAAAAGTTCATCATGTTTGGTTTTCTTGATTCTCAATGACTTTCAGGATGTTTGGCAGTATTCCCTGTGGAGAGTAGATCTATTTCTTTTAAAAATAATGATAACTATAAGACAATAAAAATAAATCAAAACAAAACAAATAAAAAATAATGGTAGCTGATTGGAGAGTGAATTTTCTTTCAAGAAGCATTTTTATTGATCTGCATGATAACTTCAGTGATGCAGACCCACAATCTTAGGTCGTAATCTAAGCACCTTCTAATCACACAGAATGACATAATTGAGTGACTACATAGTCACTCTCAGGGTTAATGTAAACTTCTCCCCTGTCTTGTTCCCCACCCATCTGGCCTGACAGCAGGTGGGAAGGACCGGTTTCCCTGCTTCCAGGAGAGGTCATGTCAAACCACTCCTAGCATGATCTAACATTCCCCATCAGGAAGCAGTTTTCTCCCCAGGCCTCGACTTCTGCTCTAAGGGTTTGCTTCTTTCCAGTATGGTGCAGTGGAAACTTGACAGAAGCAAAGTCGCTGAGCCTCTTTCCACCTCTCTTCCCCATGTCCCTAAAAGGAAGCTTTTTCGAGGTTCTGTGCTCAACTTTCTCTCGCCCTTTCTACATTCTGGCCATCTGCACCCACACATCCTTTCAGCTTTAATGAGCGCGGCAGTGTAGGTGACTCTGAATCCTACCCCTCCTGACTTTCCTTCTTATCCCTCCCCGCTTCTCCCCCAGTGTGGGGTCATGAGAAGACCACAGAATGTGGCAACAAAATCCTGTGTGGTAGGGTGGTGGGACTGGAATAAATCAGGCTCAGACCTTACCTGGCCAGCCCCTCTCCCCATCCCCCTGATTTTCCCAAAGGAGAAATTATAGGTCACAGATCTCCCTCAGAACAGGTATCCTTTAAAGGACTTCCTCAGTGTCCCCACCCTTAGCCCTTCCCGGGGAAGCCCAGCCTAGCAGGTGTATAAATAGGCACCTTGCTGCCTCTGCCTTTCTTGGTCCTTTCTCCTTCCAAAATGAGCAAGTCCCTCCTGCTGGGAGTCCCCATCCTGCTCTGCTGCTTTGGAGGTGAGTCTCTAGGTCCAGCATGTGCATGCAGTGTCCTGGTGTGCTGCAGGCCTCGCACAACAGAGGTCCTCTTATGGGAGGCATGTGGTAACAGAGGCTGTCATGCTAACGCCACGCTTCCACCCACAACACATCACGCCTTTTGCCTAAACCTTCTATCCTCCCCTTCCAGCTGGAAAGAGGTGGGTTCTAGAGGAATCAAGAGGGTTTTCCTAGAAACTCTGAGGTGGGGATTGTAAAGTGAGGTCTGCACAGAGAATATCTTTTTTTCCCCACAGTACTATCTGGCGCATTTTTGAGCAGGGATCGTTCAGGTGAGCAGACATGGATCAGGGGCGTGGCAGAGGAAGGGGGCGGAGGGAGGAGAGATGGGTGAGGTGAAGTGGGGGGGCAGTGGGGGTTGAAAGGAACTCAGCAACCTCTTCCCACACGATGGGAGTGAATTTTAAGTTTAGCAAGTACTTGAGCAGCAGTTGACAAGGCTGGGATGAGAATAATAAAGAAGGAAGTGGAATGTTGGTTTCACAGGCACCAACTAGCCAGGTCCCAAGGCAGCAACTTCATGTATCTCTGTTGCTTCCCCACATTGCCGCTTTCCAGACACGCATGGGTAAGAGTGACACATAAAGTCAATTGAAAAGAAGGGATGAAAACCAGAAAAAAGTGGGGGGCATTTATTCTTCTCTGATCTGTGCTGCATCTTCTAGGGGTAGTTAGGGAGTCTGAGAGACACTAGAGAAATGAAAAGATTTGAAAGAGGGAAGAGGGGCAGAGATGCTGAAATCAGTGGCTAGGATTTGTGGGGGGGGACACACAGGTTCTGGAGTGGCCCCAGTTAGGAGCACCAAATGGACCTGCACTCATTGCAAGGATTGCGGTGGCTCTATGCAAGGCTAAATCTCAGACCAAATAACACATTTGTTTTTGTTTTCTTAGCCAGCGCAGCCCAGATACTACAGATTAAAGAAGAGCAGATTCCTAGTGAGTACTGAAGGACCTGGTCTGTCTTGATGTCGTTCCTCTTTATCTTAGCCCTCCACCTTCCTTCCCCTTGCCATTTTTCAGGCTTACACTTCTGAGACCATAAACTCCAGGCTGTCTCTGGGGGTGACCTATTTTCATAGAGACACGTGCTTACCGGCTCTCTGACACAAGCTGGCAGTAACCCAAGGAGATGGGGACCCTTCTTCTGGCCATGAGAAATCTGCTCTCACTTCTCTCTCTCTATTCTCTGGCCCAAATTACAGACATTATTCAGTGTCGGATGTGTCACTTCCAGTTTCCAAGAAAGAAGTGTTTGCGGGGCAGAGGAATATGTAGAGCAACAGAGGATGAGGTTTGTGCAACTGTGAAGATTTTCAATGGTAGGTTGTGGGCTTGGGGGGAGTGGGGGGTGGTGGTGCAGAAGGCAGAGGAGACGAACAGAGGCAGCCAGCCATAGTGAGACAGAGGGACCTTGATACAGACACATTCATACAGAGGTGTGAAGCTGTATTCCTGAAATTTACACAGTGTTATAAACCAATGGTAAATCAATAATTTTTTTAAATTAAGATAAAAAATACATGAAATAAAAATAAAAAGAGACACTTGACTTCACTATAGGCAATGTCAGTCCTGGGATGACTGACACTTGCCACCATCAAATGCCATAATGAGAAATTGATGGAGGTGCTCACTAAGGGCTAAGGCTGTATAGCCCAGGGCTAGTATTTTGCAAAGCCAGAGGAAAACAAGGAGACTAGATTAAGGTTTAGAGGAAGGGACTGTGGTCAGTGGCTAACTTTCTGCTGGAAGCAGAGAAGGCAGCAGCTCCTTGTATTTGTCCCTGTCTGGACATCCTTGTGGGTGGTTTTATTTTTTTTTAATTTTTTTAAAGATTTATTTATTTTTATACAAGAATTGGGGTACAGGCCAGAGATGTGGGGGTGGGGGTGAGAGGATTCACCAGAGACAGAGCAGGGGAACAGAACAGGCAGACAGACCAAAGCACACTGCTGAGGGGAGCAGCGGGCGAGACAGGAGAGCTCTGTCCCGCCATGTGGGCCTCTCCCTGGTGGGCCGGGAATCGAACTCGTGCTGCAGTAGCTAAAGATTGCTTCATAGGTTGCGTCCCAACCTCTGCGCCACCAGGGGGGCCCTGTGGGTGGTTTTAAACTGTGGAAACAGAAGTTCTAACTAAAATTTACAATTAAGAGGGCACCCTTCTCCCTGGTCTCAATTAACTGCAAGCTAAAAGTCAGTACCCCACTGTGAAGAAGCTGTGTGCACAAGAAAACTGCTTCCAGACAAATCAGTAATTGCAAAGACACAGACATCAATGTTTAGGATGTGGCTAAAATGCCCAGTTCCCGGAAGTTAAGGCTCTCAATAAGGTGGATTTTAATCACCCTTTTTGTTTTCCTCAAACCATGCATAACATCAAGTAGATACATTAATCAGACCTCTACCCAAATTTCCTTTACCTGCAGAACTTCTTGAATAACTGTATATAAATCTCACTGAAGATCTCAAAATTGGGGCAGCCTTCCCACAGCTATCTGGAGGTTGCTCCCAGACTCAAGTACCCACTCTTGATTGATTAATAAACTCAATCATTTACTTGCCTGGATTTATCAGACAGCAAACAAAAGATCAGTGTCAGCAATGGATGCTGTCTTAATGGCCCTTGATGGGTAAGACTAAACACCATGATTTCTCTGTTTTCCCACCCTTCATGCTAAGTCATCCTTTGGCATCTCTAACCCTACATAAACTAGTGTTAAGATTCTCAATGGAAACATCAAATTCTGGTAATCACTGCATTGCAGTCGCCACTTCCTCCCCCCATGCCTCTCCCAATAATTTTTGTAAATTATGCTGAAGTTGTCTTTCTTTTGAGAAGCCCTCCAGCTTGCAACATCTTCCAGTTCTTCGCATTTGAAGAACAGAGTTTTGAATCACACAAGTTTGCTTTTTTATCTTGGGATGGGATGGAAAGAAGTTTCTTTGCTGATCTGTTTCTTCTCACTTCTGCAGATGATGGTACTCCATGGTTAACCTTCATGGGCTGCTTAAAGAACTGTGCTAATGTGAACAGCATAAAGTGGAAAACCTATTTGGTGAACTTCCGGTGCTGCAGAGGCTATGACCGGTGTAATGAATACCTCTAAATATTGTGGGTCTTTGTGTGGTTTCAATCTCTGAGCCTCATTGCTATCTTGATCTCTTCACAATGATTTCTTTTAAAAACATCTCAGATCACAGGCCTATGGCTCTGCCTTCTGATTGTGTAAAAAACAGCACTCTCCTTTTTTAGATTCTTAATTTTAAAACCCGAGAGAAGGAGGGAGGGTATGTGGGAGGTGGGGGAATTGGAGAATGGAGAACACTTAGAGAGCAAGATCAACATATCCTGCAGGTTGTCACAAAATCAAGAGCTTTCAGTGTGTACCTAAGTTGCTTCAGAAATAGAAGATAAGTCAATTCTTTTCCCTACTTCTTCCTTCCTTCTGTGGCAGAATATGTTCATATTTTTATTATTTATTTCTCTCTGTATTGTCTTTCTTATCCCAGTCCAATTAAAGCATATAACCCTGGCCTCTTGGGGAGGAATGGGGAAAAGTGAAAAGAGATGACTTGGGTCTTCTTGAATGTTGTTCACCCAGAGTGAGAAGGGTAGAATGTAGAAAGGAATTTACACCGGAACCAGGAAAAATGATTTTCTACCTTCTAGAATGAGATTCTCTTTAGTGTTAAGGGTTGGAGAGTAAGAAGAGAAATATCTATGGGATTCTAGAGAGAGTGCTTGCACCTGCCTCCGTGACAAACTCACAGAAAGGCATTGATCCGGGGATAGGGAAGACCTGCAGGGTCTTTCCAAAGAGATGACACCAGGAGCAGCTGCACAAATATTTCCATGTCTGAAGCACAGAGGTAATTAAGATCTGTGGGATCTGAGGAAGCCAGGTGAGTCTGATCACTACACGTCAACAGCAGCCTCTATGGAGAGTCGTCCCACGGACCAGATGCCTGTCTCCACACCCCATCTCTGTCTCACACACACTTCCTATATATATAGTGAAAGGTTGACTGTTTTTCTATTTAGATCTGAGACAAAGACATCTACCACTTGTAATTATCATCACTTTACAGGTCCTAAGAAGTACAAGGCATGGTAAAAATATAAAAGGAGAATAAACACTTAAGAAAGAGGTAAATTACATCACAGTAATTCCCCCATGAATTATTGAAATATTGGGACCCAATGCTAATATCTCCATTCTGCCCATATAAACTAATTATCCCATCCTGAATAGGAAAATCTCCTATTTTCTACTTCTGGGTATGCTTAAGTATTATATTCATCCAAACATTATATAATTAGGGGGAAATACCAGCATGCACACAGTGCAAATATTTAAAAATTAAACCATATATTAGAATATTTTATCTATTTGTGCAAATAAAATATGGTAGAAACAAATAAGCATTCATAAGTCTGGGGGTCAGGAGGGTCTCTACCAAACCTGGGATAATATTATATATGTTTATATAATCACAAAGCTAAAAATTAAATGTAATGGTCTGCAAATTCTAACACATAGGAAAGTTAACATGTTAAAAAATAATTTATCAATCTAAGTCAGTGAAAAAAAAATTAGGAATTACTTTTTGTCTTTTCATAGAATATTATTTTTTGTTAGAAAAACCATAGTGAAGATTTGAAACACCTCTCTCCTTGTCATTTTTCCGTTGTCGGGTTGTGCCCATAATTGAAAGACACTCAGTTTCCTATAAATGAGTGCATTGAATCCAAGATGACATCGAGATATTCACATTGAAATATATTTGAGTTCGGGTGGTAGAGTGACTCACGTGCCCGAAGACAGAACGATTGGCAAATACTCAGTCGAATGCCCCTTCTGATGTATTTGCTTTTGACCATGAGAGCAAGATAAGAGGCATAGAAGCACAGTAGCCCCGTGAACAGGAGTAGCTGTGCTTGGTAAGTGGTGACAGACACACTAACTCTACTGTCTGGGATGTCACAAGTCAGTCTTCTAGTTCACATGACTTTCTCAAGTCTGCTGTTTAAGACAAGCTCTTCCTAGCACCCCCGCCAAATGCTCTTCTACTTTCCTCCCAAGGATTTCTCCCCTTTTGTACCTATCTCTTCAATTTGTTTTCTCCTAACCTTCCCTCATAACCTTGACCAGGAAAATAGCTTTATTGCCTTTACCAGAAACTTTAGAACTCTGACATTAGCCCAAGTTTAGCATCAGAATTTAAGAGTAAGAAAGATGGCCAGGAGGTATAGAGAACAAAGGAGAGGAATTTAACCAGAAGGTAGAATTAGGTTTTTGTGGTCTATGGCTTTACCTTTTCCCATGAAGGACACACTGACATGGGACCGAACAGAGCTTTTGCAGATAGACCTAGTGGAATGGAGAAGAGGGTAGGGTCTAGGTTTTGAGAAATGGAAAGATGATATTGTCATTGGGTATGAGAAGGACAAAGATAATTAGAAGAAATAGTTTAAGAATCTTAATTATTTTAATGGTATTCATCTGTAATCAAGACATCTGAATTCTATCTTCATTTTTTTCATCATCACCTGGAACTTTTTCTCCATGTTTCCTTTGAATATCAAGGTTTCTGTCAGGATGATTACAAAAGTCTTTGTTATTGCAGCATTGTGTTTCTCTCAGGAGATCATGGAATACCTGGGTCATTCCCGCCTCACAAGGATCACAAGATAGTTTTGTGTAACGATACAGATATCTCCCTAAATAAATAAATTAATTAATAATTAATAATAAATGCTTAATCTCACCTTTTTCCTAACAATGGCTTCTCTCCAGCCCCCGCCCCCCCACTTTTCTGCAGAGAACATGAGCCCTGAGGCTGTCTCTGCATTTCACCTCTGTCTCTCTAGATACCAACAGACATGGCTCCACCTGGCTCTGCATGGAGGAGAATCCTGCTTTCCCCACTCTCTCCCACACTTGCAGTTCCCTCCACAACTTGACTTCACCAGAAATGGGGAGCGCCTCTGGTAATATTTTATGTCTCTCACTAACTCCACTTACCTGTCAAGCGATCACTAAAATAAAAATGATCTGTTTTACAACTCCTGTTATAACGTAGTACATTAAACTTCCAGCACTGTGTCATTTCGGTAAGGCATTCGTATCCATCATAGTAGTCGCATGCTTTGCAAAAGCGTGTCACTAAGAAAGGAAGAAAGCCAGAGAGCAAAATTTGAGGGGAAAGTGATTCTGCTTCACAAGCCTGTCCCCACCTATAAACATGTATGCCGTTGTACAAGCCTCACAAGGAAAAATTGACATCCTTTCCAGCTTTTGTCAGGGTGGGTGACAGACTTCTCCAAGAGTCAAAGACACCCTCCTCACCAACAGCCCCACCGCCCCCAACCGGCCAGGGCTACAGACAGAAAGAAGAAACTAGAGCAGTGAGTGGAGAGAATGAACTATAGACAGGGAGGACACAGACAAGGTGTAAAGAGCTCAAGAATGTCCCTTCTCATTGTAGCATCACTTAGCCGTGAACTTGCAACAACTACACCATACGTTTTATTGTCAGGACTCTGTCTCCTGTGAAGAGAAGAAAAATTCTCCTTAATCATTGTACAAGAGCCCCAAGAGTCAAGTTTAGAAATCCCTCTCTTTCTTCCCATAAACTCTCCCCAGCCATCAAGGCCTCCCTCACTGGGCCTTACCTTCATTCATTAAGAGCACTGTAAATATGCCCAGCAGAAACACCTGGAATGTCCTGGGGTCCATTCCTGAGAAGCTTCCAGTGTTAGCTTCCAGCTTTATTTATTCCCATCACCTGCCCTCAGGCATCCCACTGGAATCACAGCATCATAAATCTCAGATCAAACACTCGATTCCTCTTTACGGTGTTCCAGAGAGGGTACATCCTGTCTGCGTCCACATCCCTCCAGCTACTCGGGGCTCAGCCCACCCATTTCTTTTATTAGACCTTCTCAAAAGAACCTAATTCAGTGGCTGAACGTTCTGTCTCCCCGAGACCTCTTAACTTCAGTAGTTGTTTTTCTGTGTGTTGGTCTACACAGAATATGGCGACCTTCACATCCATACCATATCCTTTCACACGTAACCAAACTGATGATCTGTGATTGCTCTGTTCCTCTCAGGTGCTAGAAACATCCTGGACATTCACCTCAGCATGACTCAGAGAGGTACTACAGCCCTCTACATGGTGAGTCACGAGGATCAGAGCCGCATATCCCAGATGTGGTCTCAAGGTCCAGCTTAGCGTCCTGCCTGAGGGGCAGAGGGGACTGCCCAGGAGTAAAGAGTGAGCAGGCAAAGACAATCTTAGTTTCTCTCAGGATTGATTCATTTTTTTTCAAGGGCAACAAAGACCATCAAAACTGCGGTGGGACAGACTTTGGGTGTCATGGGTTAGAAAGAGGAGGCTGTGTTTGAATTAGTTACTAGAAGGGTGCATGGAGGAGAAGTAGGGAGGGTTGGAAATAAATTTTCCATCAGTTCCCTGACTTGATCTTACTTCCTGCAGAGTATGTGTGTGTGTGTACGTATAGACAAAACTTCCTTACCACACCTCTCTGTTCCTTTCTTATTTGAGTTTCTCTAGAGAAATTAACCCATTTGTCACTTCATAGCTTTTCCTTATGGACATTATTTTGCCTCACTCCTCCCAAGAATGAAAACTCCAGGAATGCAGGAGTTTCATGTGCTGTGTCTTCTGCTTTCTCAGCACCTGGAAGGATGCTTTGCACATATCAGAAAACCACAAATTTTGCATGATTGGGAGCCATGGGGCAATGGTGCCACTTCCAGACAGCCTCCAATTCCAAGTCAGTGGGGTGAGATTCCTGGCCTACACCTTGCAGGTAGTAGTCACTGCACAGAAGAAAGGCAGTGCTAATAGCAGGTCCCCCTGTCTTGGGGGGAGAGTGACGGTGGGGCCCATTTATCTGAGTGGGCTCACTGCCCAAGCTAGGTACACGCTACATCCGGGATCAGCGCAAGATCCCTACCTACCTGCTGTGCGACCTTAAACAAGTTGCTGAGCTTCTCTGAGCTCCATGACCTCATGGGTGGAAGCAAGGACTATTACTATTAGAGGTATATCTGTTGTAGTTGTTAGCATTTAAAAT